TGCAGTGCTTTTGACCAAGGAGTTCCCCCGTGTTCCAATTTAGAACCATTACAAATTCTCAACTAGGCCTTGTCAAATTCACAATTTGCAAGCTCATCTTGATGCATAGAAAGCTTTAAAATAGTTAGGCAATAGCATATTTATTAAAAATACAAGCATTTCTATTGATATAGATTTTTTTTGAATATTTTTTTTATAATTTTTGAAATGGTTCGATTCTTGGTACTTGCAAGAAAGATAAGGATCTTTCGATTATCTCTTTTGAGATTCCATCAAGAAGGTTTTTAGTTGCTTTATTAATTTTTATTATTTGATATATGTTAAAATTTCAGAATCCAATCCCCGTATCTTTGCTTGTGTTTTGATTGACTCCTTAAATAAACATTCATTCACAATCAATTCGAGTAAAATCAACAATTTTCTTTTAAAATAAGTCACATATATAATATTTGAAATATCCTTATATTTTTATTATTTGTCAACTAATGATAATTAAGTATAACATTATTATATATAAGTTTTGTGAAATTGAGAGGAATATAAATATATATACACACAAAACAGCTAAATATAAAAAACACAACAATCATATGGATATATAGCTTGAAGAAATGTTGTGATGGATTCTAAACCTAATACCAATTCCTTCTTAATTAATTATTATTCCTTGTATCTCCTGATTCCCTTTTTTTATGTTTGGTGGCTATTATTGGTTGCACTGCCACCACAATTCTCACCAAGCGTCAACCAAATCATATCACCAACAACAGAAGGCCCAGTCAAAGAAAAATGGTTGGTCGAGGATGTGCGTTCATAAAACATCAAATCACAAGGTTTGTTCATGATTAAAAGTCTTTAACTTCTCATTTACTGGAATAAGGGAAAATATTATATATGATACCAAATGTCTTTTATACTCCAAATGCATCATTGGTCAATCTCTTGTAGACGTACAAGTTTAATGTGTATGCATAATATTTTTAGGCATACTTAAGCTAAACGGAGATTATGATAAAAATTCTTCTCTAATTTCTACATCCATCCTTTTCTAGTTGGATAACTACTTGACATAGAGCATGTATTTAAGACGAGAGATTGTAGTTGTATCGATCTTTTGTAACTTTGATGTAAATTTGCTATATTGTTCTTTTTTCTGAAGCATGTTGACCATTTTGTAGAGGATGCTTTTGCAATAGATTATATATATAGTATTCTTTGAATACAAAAAGTTGAGATGGATCCACCAATAGCTTGTTGTCTTGGGCATCAAGGCAACTCCAACCTAACTCTTGAGGACCAGTTGATGAGCTATAAAATGGGCTAAGAAGCGTATCTCCCTTGCACAACCTCAACCTCCTGCTGATTTCCTCTTTGTGTGCAGCTCATAGTCTAAGCAGGCTTGTTTCTTTCACTTCCTTTTGATTCTTGTCCTTGATTCATTAGTATCTTGTGTACTAATTCTTTGGTTCGTTCCGTGATGGTGCTTTTGTGATGGAAAGCAGTGATGATTCAGAATCAATAGTGGCGGAAACTTGTCTTTTGATGATGTAAGAACTGAAGCTTTAAACTGCTGCTTGTGTTTTGATGGTGTAAGATCTGAAGCTTTAAACTGCTGCTTTCATGGCCATGCCCAACTTATATATCTTTTGTTTAATTACCTGGTTTTTGTCGGGGTTGGTTTGAAGGGAAGGAGATGATGATACCAAATGATGGATCGCTCGCCGATCGTAAATGGCAGATTGTTTCTTCTGCCTTGACGACCATCAGAATGTGCAGTATCTGAACCTTCCAAGTCTTCATCCCCTCCTGTTTTCTCTCTCTCTCTCTCTCTCTTGTTTTTTTTTGATAAAAATCTTTTTTGTATTACTTATATTTTTATGTCAAAATCAAAGTTTGAAAGTCAACGATCTCTCTTTTTATTTTTTTAAAATATATTTTGGTATTTTTGACAACTTTGGAAGTGGAATTATTATTTTGAAGTGGTAATTTAATTCAATCAGGTTTTGAATGGGGTTTAATACATTATCACTAGACAAATGGATTACATTACTCCCATCTATTTTAGGTAATAAAAAAAAATTCTGATCTTATGATCCATTTGGCCATCCAATGATGCTTTCAATCTTGTAATCATTTTATCTCCTAATCTTCAAAATAATTAAGATTATCACCACAAAAATCGAAAAGAGGATAAATGATATCTATTTTTTTTTAATTGAGAGAGAGAGAGAGAGAGAAATTAACTTTTTTTTGGTCATAAAAAGATAGATATTAAACAAATACTTCCCTCCAAACACACATGAAATCTGGTAGAGAGAAATGAAGGAATGTCTTCTAATAATTATTATTCAGATTTGTGCAGCATATAAAATAAATCATTGGATTTGCCAAGAACTCTTCTTAGACAAAAAGAGTTCAGTGTGTTCCACCCAAAACGAAAAAGAAAAAGGAGATCAGTGTGTCATGTGGATGAGCAACTCTGTCATCTTTAATAATGTTCTGTAGGATGAACAGCTTGTGACCTTTTAGTGTTTGTTTTGTCCTCTCCATTTTATATATATAGAGGATGAACAGCTTGTGTTGGAGAATAAAAGTACTAATGTTCAATACTCAATTGCATGGGTTTGGTTTGCTTTTGTTTCTCATGCAATTTTGTCATCATTAAGTCACCTCATTCTATGCAATGCGCTTCATGAATTCAAATATCCATTACCCTTCTTTTTTTTACCTTAGGATAAAATAAAAAATGAACTCGAAGATCTATAATCATTGCCTTAAGATAAAATGTGATTGTGAAGTGATTTGACTAACATCTTTCAACAAATCAAATAATAAAATTAAATTAAATTATAATTAAAAAATAAAAGATAAGGGATTATTTAGTTTTTTAATTTACGATTGATTAGGAGTTTAGGACTCTATTTATAGAGTCTAGAAATGTCAAAATAAAAAGCATTTATCAATGGGACATGTCCTTTCATTTATAATCATAAAAAAAAATAATTATATTTTGTGGATTTGTTGCAAATTCATCTAATTATATTATTATATATTCAACTTAAGTTTTTTTGTTTTTCTTTTGGGAAGGGCGGGATGCATGTAAGTAAGAATGGATGTTTGGGTCAACGAAGGAAAGGGACTTGCACTTGAGGGAAATGGTCCATCAGCTCTTCAAGGAACTCTGACACACTTGAACATCATTATCTATAATATTTGTATATATTTATTATTCAGATCTTTTTTTGAAATACAGAATCACTAATGTATATAATGAATGTAACTGTATTACTACTACCTGATTAACTATTTTAATTTTAATAGACAAAATTTGGCCTTTTGTCATTATTATCATAATAATAAAAAGTTTTTGTCTTAAAAAATTACACACATGGAATGAAATGAATAATAAGTGGAAATTCTAATACTGAGCTAATTTAAATATTTTAGATTAATAGTTCAGACTCATTAAGTTTATCCTATCAATCAGATCATGATAAATGATACTAGAATAATTATAACATTAAATAGATTGAGAGACCCAAATGAAAAAAAATATATATATATATCATACTATTAGCAACAGTATAAATGGAATGAGATTGAATTATATGAGAGAAAAAATATCACCATATTTATCGAGCAGCTTTCTTTCTTTAAACTACATACTTCACAATGATATGAGACTGCACACGACAAAACGATATAGTTGATGATTCTCCCAACCAAGTGCAGCTTCTAAATCTTCAGATAACATTACCAAATGACGAGAGGAGCTCATAATTATAACTTATGCAAAACTATCAACAAATATCAGAAAGTGTTACATAGATCGACATTTCATCGGGAAAAGTCCACGTTATTTATTTATTTTATTAAATGACACCTCTCATATTTATTTTTATTTAAAAATATTTTTTTAAAGTAATAGTAATAATAATAATAATAATCATGAATCAAACCCAATTAAATTTAAAGATTTTCTTTAGATAAATTTTTCGATCGAACGTAACTTAAATGTGACATAGTCGAATTTTGAGTATAACTAAATGAACTTTTATTAAATCAATCTAAATTTTTATAGAATAAATAGAATATGATAAGATGGTTAATAATAATAATATTTTTATTTTTTAATAATATATGATAATTAATTATTAAAATTTAAGATTTTTTTTAGTGTGATCAAGTATAACTTTATCAACTTATACTAAACTAACCTAAATTTTCACATAACTACTAGAACATAGTTCTAAGATGAATAATATGTTTTTTTTTAATTTTTAAAAAAGGTATAATAATTAATTATTTTAAAAAAGGATTTTTTGAATATGTTTTGTGATAAGTGTAACTTAGATCAATTTTGAATGTGGCTAAACCAACTTCCATTAAACTAATTCAAACTTCTACTAAACTATGTAATTATGATTCTAAAAAGATTAGCATTTTATATTTTTATTAAATTTTATGATAATTAATTATTAAAATTATAGATTTTGTGCATTGGTTATAACTTAGCTTAATTTCAAGAGTAATTTGATCAATTTCTATTAAATCAACTAAAACTTTTAAGTAATCACTAAGATATTATTTTAAGATGATTAATACTATTTTTTTATTTATTTTAAAAAATATTGTGACATTTTTTAAATATATTTTATGATGTAGTATAACTCAATTCAACTTTCAAGAAACCAACTTCAAAATTTTATAAAATCACTAAGATATAATTTTAAGATGATTAGTATTTTGTTTATTTAAAAAAAAATTATGATAATTAATTATAAAATTAACATTTTTTGAATAACATATGTCATTTAAATAAAAAGCTAAGGCATTTTCATACAAGTGAAATAAAAAGAACACCCTAACTAATATCAAATATGAGGAGCATCATCCAAGCATTACACATACGTCTGAATAGTTTCCTTTCCTTCTTTTCTCACCACCTTTCCAAAACAGTCACAGCTTTCCCCCTTTCCGTAACAGACACACGCACACACGCACACACGCGGCTTTCATGTTTCTTTTTCCTCCCAGAAACCCTCCTCTTGTCATTCGCTTCCTTGTTCTTCTTTCCTCCGTAAGCCCCTCAAAATCTGGTTTCTTTATCCTCCTCTCGTTTCATTCTCCATCAACATCTGTTTCTCCGCTGCTACAAATGCTATCTATGCCTTCATTCTTCTCCATATCTGCTGGTTAGGGAGCCGGAGCCGGAGCCTTAAACCCTTGAAGTCTCCTCCTTTCTCCTTGTTCTTGTTGTGGTGGAAATTTGTGCTTTCGCTTCTTTTCTTTTTAGAATTAGGGTTTTGGGGATGGGAGGAGGATGGAAGGTGGAGAAACTGGTGGCTGTGCGGCGCTCGCTGCGGACGAGCCTGGACAGGTCGCGGGCGCTGGGCGCCGCCCTCGCCCGCGCCGGGCCCCGCCTCGACGAGATCCGGCAGCGGCTTCCCCCGATGGAGGCCGCCGTCCGCCCGATCCGCGCCGACCGCGACGCGCTGGCGGACGCAGGCGGGCACATTGATCGCTCCGTCGTCCCCGCCGCCGCCGTTCTCAAGGTCTTCGACGCGGTCCATGGCCTCGAGCGCTCCCTCCTCTCCGACCCCCGCGCCGACCTCCCCGGCTACCTCGCCGTGCTCAAGCACCTCGAGGAGGCCCTGCGCTTCCTCTCCGACAACTGCGGCCTCGCCGTGCAGTGGCTCGACGACATCGTTGACTACCTCGACGACCAAACCCTCGCTGACCAGCGCTTCATTATGGGTCTCAAGTCCTTCCTTGTCTCTCTCAAGTCCTCGCCTTCGCCTCTCGACGGCGGCCTCCTCGCGGCCACCCTTGACAAGCTCGAATCCGAGTTCCGGCTCCTCCTGGCCGAGCACACCACCCCTCTTCCGATGCCCCCCGACACATCCGACGCTTCCACCATCTCCACCTCCCCAATCCCGGTCCTCGTCATCAACAAACTCCGCGCCATCCTCGAGAGGATGACTGCAAATAACCTGCTTGATCGCTGCGTCTCGATCTTTGTGGATGTCCGAGGATCCAACATCCGCGCCAGCCTCCGAGCGCTCAACCTCGACTACCTGGAGATCACGCCCAATGAGTTCAATGACGTGCAGAGCATCGAAGGATACATCGAGAAGTGGGGTCGTCACCTTCAGTTTGCCGTCAAGCACCTCTTCGAGACCGAGCTCAAGGTCTGCGTCGAGGTGTTTGAGCAAACCGGACCACCTGATGTAGCTGTATCATGCTTCGCTGATATTGCTGCGCGGGCTGGAATCCTCGGATTCCTCCGGTTTGGGACGATTGTCACCGAGACAAGGAAAGATCCCATCAAACTTCTCAAGCTTCTTGATGTCTTTGCAACACTGAACAAATTAAGATTGGATTTCAACCGGCTTTTTCGAGGAAAAGATTGTGTTGAGATCCAGAACCAAACTAGGGATCTTATTAAGAGAGTGATCGATGGGGCTTGTGACATCTTTTGGGAGCTTTTGCATCAAGTGGAGCTACAAAGACAGATGCCACCACCTTCTGATGGAGCTGTGCCAAGGTTGGTGAGCTTCATCACTGAATACTGCAATAAACTTCTCAGTGATGAGTATCGGCCAGTTCTTACTCAAGTTCTGATCATACATCGGAGCTGGAAGCAGGAGAAGTTTCAAGAAGAAATGCTAACTGATGCGATTTTGGAGATATTTAAAGCCCTCGAGGCTAACTTTGACATTTGGTCTAAGAGCTACGGGGACACTTCACTTTCCTTCCTATTTGCAATGAACACACATTGGCATTTCTACAAGAATTTGAAGGGGACTAGGCTGGGGGAGCTGTTAGGCGAGGCAAAGTTGAAAGAGCATGAGCAGTACAAGGATTATTATGCTGCATCTTTCTTGAGGGAAAGCTGGGGAAAGCTTCCACCTTTATTGAGCAGGGAAGGGTTGATATTGTTCTCTGGGGGTAGGGTCAAGGCTCGGGATCTTGTGAAGCAGCGTTTGAAAGGTTTCAACGAGTCCTTTAATGAGATGTATCATAAGCAGTTGAGTTGGGTTATATCAGACAAGGACTTGAGGGAGAAGATGTGTCAATTGGTAGTGCAGACTATTGTTCCTAGCTACCGGAGCTATATGCAGAACTATGGGCCTCTGGTCGAGCAAGATTCAAGTGCAAGCAAATATGCAAAGTACACAGCTCAAAGCTTGGAGAAGATGCTTGGTTCTCTTTTTCAGCATAAACCCGGGAGAACAATGAGTCTCAGCATTGGGCACTCAAATGGAAAATTGACTAGTGTGATGAACAACCTGTCTCGCTCTGCCTCTACCGTGAGTTGATGAAGCCATATCTCTGTTTAATTTGAAGGAAAAGTCAATGCTTATTCTCCACAGGCACAGCAGTCGAAAGTAGAAGTCGATTTTACAGTAGTCCTTGTTGGTTAATGGATATTTGATGCAGCAGCATGTGATGGTGGCCCGATGCAACAAATTTTACAAACTTGTTACATTGGGTAACTGGGGATAAGAGGGCCCCTGAATGTGGAAGCTGAAATTGAAGCATGCTATAGTCAAATTAATTTGTGCATATATGTCTTGAGAAATAGTAGGATGGTGGTGACCATGTGATTAATTCTTTGGCACATTTGTAGTAGAAGTTACTTTGCTATTATGCTTTAGAGGTTCTTCCACTCTCAGTACGCATTACATTTTGCCTAGCATCTAGTTCTTCATTTTACGCTTGAGGATGTAGAAACTAAATATACAATTTGATTTTTTGATTTTATTTGTACAATTTATTGATAATTGTATCCTTGTGTCCTTCCTTTTCATTCTCAACATTTATCTTACAAAGATGCAATATGGTGCTGGCTAGTTAGGTGCATGCTCTAGGAGTGGAACAATTTGGGCTATGACCATTAACATCAAATTTCTTCTAAAATAATTATTTTGGCCAATTCATATCATTATTTTGAATTGGTTCTCTTTCTTGGAGGAACCTATACTTCCATTTTACCTGCTAATTTATACTTTGCATTTGTGTTCTACCTAAAATTTCCATGCTTTGGTTCACTTTGCTTGTCTTGGTACTCAACTTATAAACTCTATGAATTACAATGCAAATGAAAATGGTCTTAAAAGACATGTTAAGTAGTTTAACAGTGCAGATTACAACAAGGGCAAACAGTTTATGATGCTAGATCAACAGAGCTAGTGAATATATGTTGGGTCCATACAATAGTCGTGCTGATGAGTTAACCTTCCATTAAAACACATGCACATGTCTTCAATATGAAAAATTTCACCATTGTGTCTGAAATATTAGTCCCTCCTGGTTTAGTTGGTCTGGATTTGAGAATCGCTTACAATGAGACAAGTTATTTGGTGTTCTCATGAGCCCATTGGTATAGGTGATATATATCCTGGCCTAAGGTCTTCATGTTGTGGGAACCATGTAACATTCAGTTGCAAGTTTGACCTTATAATCAGTAAAGAGTTTGATATGGGCCAATATAGAGTGAAATGAAGGTTGAGATTTATTTTTGTTCGTTCTCTAGTTCAATGCATGGTGATTTTAAACTTTATGGACTTCTCCTGTGTGGAGCCCAAACTCAACAGAAATCTTGGCTCATACCATATTTTTGTATCAGGGGCCATAGTTCAAAGAATAGCTTACTACCTCAGTTTAAAGTAACAGAGGGTGCAAGGCTAGAAGTTGGTTGTGATGCCTCTTATGTAAGAATATAAGCCATTTGAATTAAAAAGAGTGATATATAGTCTTGGAGATAGACTTTTAGTGTTAATCATGCTACAAGAAACTTGAATGCTATTACTTTTTAGTAATACTGGAACTCTATTTTTGCAGGAAAATGTGGTAATGTTTGTTGTGTTTTTCTAATGTTGTGTTTAGAGAACATGCTTGATGTCATTGAAGTTACAGATTTTATGACACTGATACTTGGAAAAGTCAAAATTGCAAGCCTTTGATCCATTTATAGCGATGACTTTATAACCTGGCCAGAATCATTGTAAATTTTAATATATTTTTCATTTGAATAAAGGTAAGTTTAGGGTATATTTTGTAGGTGTCTAAGTTGGCAAATGATAACATCTTTCACAATCCTACATTAGTTACCAATGTTGTTGGGGAAGTAAAGAATTAAACCAACATAAATAGTGACAAATCTTAGGTTTAAATGGAGATTTTAAGGAAAAAAGAAAATTCTTATCTTTAATTGAAGATCTCATCCTTACAAGGAAGTGTTTCTTTATTGAAGAACAACAAAAGAGGAAGCTTATCGACCAAGTATTTATCACAAGAAAGATTTTGTCAAAATAATTATGGAAAAACATCTTCCCTGATGAAATAATTGATATGTTTTGATTTATGAGATGTAATTTTCTTTATTGGATTCTTCATTAATTTGTGTTTTCTTTTCTTTTTGTGATTTGGGACCTGTATAAAGGGGAAAGAGATTGTAAGTGAAGATCACAGAATGATTAAATGGATTGAAGTTTCTTTCCAACATTATGTGTGACTGATGTAAGGCCATTTTATAGCCAACCTATGAGATGGATGGATGTGTGAGACTTTTGTCCCTAAAAGGTTCCTACTTGAGAGAGAGTGAGAGCTAATAGTTATCTTTTTTATACTTATTATAACTTTATATTATTATCTTAATGTTCCTCTTTTTTTTTCTTGTTTTATTCTCAAATAAAGAAAAATACACTTTTCGTACTCGTCCTACACCAAAACTATAATTTGCAAGATTAGAATCAGTATTGGATAGGGACAACTATCTAGATCAGTAGGATTGGATCAATAGGACCAGAGTTGAATGAGGAAAAAGTTAAACAAGTATCATATAAAATTAACAAACATAAACAAATAAAAAATTATGAACTCAAAATATTATATGCTAAAATTTCTTTTGTGTTAACAGGATTGATTTGAAATTGTGTAAGACTGATGTTGAAGGGAAAGGCGATACTTTTCCATCCATGCTTTGCCATTTGGTGCAATTTACACTAAAATTTTAATTTGTATTACATTATTTTGTCTCATTATTAAATAAGAATGCCTGGGAGGGATGAATTTTAGCTAATTGATCATGATAAATGCATAGTATTGCATGTGCAACAAGTTAGCATAGGTTTTTGGTACCATTAAGCAATCTGAGATTTTCTGGAGAATCTGAAAGAGAAAAAAGGAGAAATAAGCTTCAAAACATTGCCAACCTTTGTAAACTCTGATGATTCAGCGACTTACGTTTCCAAGGCTTAGATGTATAGGTTTCTTGGTCGTATCTTGTCCTTTTTTCATTAGAGAAAACTTGTGTCATATTGATCATTACAAGGATAAAATAGACTGATTCTGAAGAAGTTCTGAACGTATAAGAACCATACAGCTTTGTAGGTAAACTACTTCATGTGTCAAGTTTCATGCTCTTATTTGACTTGGTGATGAGCTTTCAATAACGTTGAGATGCTGATATAATAGTCTATGCGTGAGTGAGTATTGTTGATTAACATTGGTACTCTGTTCTTGGAAATCCAATTCATGAAAGTTGAGGTACTGTTTCATGTTGCATTTCTAGCTTGCTTTAATATAAACCATGTTATCCAGAGATGCAACAAGCCTTCATGAACCTGCTAATATAAACGCTGTTGATTTGTCTTCTACAGTGTTATCTCCTTAAATTATCATATATGTGAGTCTAAACTTGTCATTTCAGAATTAGACAACTATAATTAAGAATTGTGGCATGCTTTATGAATGGCAATCAAAATTTCCTTTGTTGAGAGTGGTTATAGGTGAATTATTCGTGTCATGAGATGTTGATTATTTACTTCATCTGAAAGGCAATATATTTTTTTTCCACTTGGCTATCTTGTACATTAACTTTCTCGTCTTTCTACTTCTTCTTCTTATTTATTTCAGGCTGTCAAATTTATTAGTTTTAGTACAAGAAAATGATGTGGATAAATAATAATTGTTTGGTGAGTTCTCAAAACTTGCACAAGTGGAACTTGATGCGTATCTTTATTTGGCTCTTTCGGTTGTTTGGTGAGTCCTCAGAACTTGCACAAGTGGAACTTGATGCGTATCTTTATTTGGCTCTTTCTGTAAACTGATGATGCCAAAACAATTGCTTTGTGGAGTATTTTCTTCTTCTTTTGTAAAGGAAAATAGTGACTCCCTAACAACTCTTTTCCTATGAAGATGATCTGCCTTTCTAACACATACTTCATGATGTTGATTTTCTGGCATTTAACTGTGTATGAATTGTCTTGCAGCTTGAGAAGTTGTTTGCTCCCTAAGCTTATGGTTCGAAATTGAGGATCTTAATTAGCTTTCTTTGATATTGCTTTTATCAATTGATTAAGGTACGAGGCATGTGATGCTTGAAATAATTTTAGTTCTTCCTGTCTATGATTTCTTCTCCTTTGATCATTACTCATTCCAAAAATAACATTAGTGTTGAAGAAATTTTCACCTCCTCCTTGGCTGCAGTAACTTTCTCTAGTCTGTCTACTTCATCTTCTCTTTTTGTTTCAGGCTGTCATTCTTACTGTTTGGTGAGTGTCAAAATTTTCACAAGTCTAACTTATGCATATCTTAATTCGGTTTGTTTTGTAAACTGATGATGCTAGAACAATTACTTTGTGGAGTGCCTTTGTAAAGGAAAACAGTGACTCCCTTGCAACTTTGTTCCTTTCAAGATGATCCACCTTACCAACACATATTTCATGATGTTGATTTGCTGACATCTGTCTATGAATTGCCTTGCAGCTTGACAAGTTGTTTGCTCCCTAAGCTTATGGTTTGAAAATGGGGATCTCAATTATCATGGAGGACTTTCTTTGATATTGCTTTTATCAACTGATATGGTTCTACTTGGCAATGATTTCTTCTCCTTTGATCATTCTGCATTCCAACAACAACACAGGTGTTGAAGAAATTTTCAGGTGCTTGCTGGCCAACCTCTTGTGCTTGTTTCAGATTGGTTTTACCCTGTAAATTTTACTTGTTTGAATGTTTTCGTGTTTTTCTTCTACTACTTCTGGACCTCACATGTCTCCCACCTAACCAGGACAGCTTGCAAGCTCATCCACTGGTCTTTGCCTCTTGGCACTGACTCATCTTTGTTGGTGCAGCTGCCTCCATGGCCCTGTGGCAGTCCTTCCTCCACTGTCATCTCGCCATCATGTGCCCATTAGTCTTCCTGGCGACAGGGACTGCTTCCACCTCCCCGGGCTGCCGCTGCGAGGGAAACCAATCAAAACCTCCATGGACGGTTCTGATCAATGACTCCAGGGCTACACTCTTACCTCCATCGTCGTATCTATCGGCTTAACCTTTTAGATTAATCGAGCTGACATCTTGCCTGTGTTCTCATCTCTCAGAAACATTCCAGTGTCCTTCATCTTTGTTAGGAGTCGATGCAGTGCAGGCGAGCAATTGAAATCTTTCCTCAGAACTCCCTCGGTTCCAGGTAAGTAGTATTGCTTTACCTGGGATTCCAGAGTAGTAGTTAATGGAGAAACTAATACTCCCTGTAATGGATTTCTTGCGTTGCACTTAATCTCTCATGTACTTTTTGCCGCATCTTTAAGGGTACAAGCACATATGGTTGATAAGAAAGGGACATCCATGGAGCCCTTGGCCAACGACTTGGTTCAGGAGTCGGAACACGAATCCTGCACGTGGCAGGACGGGAGGTGGCTCTCGCGCTCTCTCTCTTTCTGATACGTGCACGATTCTTACAGTAGGATGTCATCCACGAGTCGTGTATACGTGAAGTGTAGATGCTTACGGGCTAATGACACGATAATAACTCGTGTAGTTAGATTTTTTTAATATCTTAGTTCATAGGCTTAAAAAGTTTATATTATAATTTTTATAATTATAAAAGTATAACATTTAGTTTTATTTATTATAGGTTTTATCGATGAAAATATGAAAACGATCGATAAAATGATAATTTTAATGTTTCAGTTATGTTATCGATGATGACAAATGATGGTATCATTAGGGTCATGGGTGGTTGGTGAGAGTAAGGAAGGAGAACTACACCGAGAGATGAGGAGACGATACAGATGTCAATGTTTTCTATTTACGTTGACGTCGATACAGATGCAGAGTATTCTACATTTGTGTCGGTATCGATGTTCTACGTACTGATGTAAAGTGTCGGTGTTTACGTCATCACTTCACCTCTTATCATCATTCTCCCTCCTCATCCATAATAATTATCTATGATCGTTAGCGGCGTTATCATTTATCATCATCAAAAATATAATTAAAATATTAAAATTATTTTTTTACTTATCGTTTTTATATTTTTATTGATAAAAATAAAAATAATAAAATCAAATACTTTATTTTTATAATTATAAAACAAATTTAAGTTTAGAAATTACCAAGCTAAAGATGTCTGAATACGGGCTAATATGTAATTAGGCCGCTCACGTACGAGAGAGAGAGAGAGAGAGGGCGAGGACTTGGTATTCGTGTGGGCGAGTCAGGTTGTTGTGTTGCGGTCTTTAAGCTGCGTCGGTGTCTCGAAT